AGCTATTTAAAGAGCCAAGACAGTTGTATGGTGCCAATTTAAATAGTTTTATTTAAGACATTGCATTTTCCACTTACAATACAGTGTTTATAAAGTGCAATGTTAGTTCTTTCCTTCCCCTGTGCATATGTTCCATATTCAAGTATTGAGAATGCCCAGTAACTTACTATAGCAGCTCAACTTTTTAAAACTGCCACAGAATTTGCTACAAATTTAGGTCCTTCAATGCTTTATATGTGTGGAACAATGCTAAATCTATACTTGGGTTGGCTTAATCAACCTCTTCAATAGTGGGCCCTGAGGAAGCACCACCAGAGGGAGGAGCTCCACCACCAGGGAATCCTCCAGGCATTCCTCCTGGCATGCCTCCTGCACTCTGGTACAGCTTGGTGATGATGGGGTTGCAGACTTTCTCCAGCTCTTTTTGCTGATGTTCAAATTCTTCCTTCTCGGCAGTCTGAGGAAGAAAAAAAGGAAATTACTGTGAGTTCTTGTAATTTTAACCCTTTAATCCTGATGCAATCTGACACAAAAAGTCTGACACTCTTAGAAGAGAGGCCCACTAACACATTAAAACAGGGCCCTATTCCTTAACATCTTGGGTCACTCAGACATCCAAGGAAGGTAGTTGCCAACACCTTGAATTCTGGTGGAAACCGCGAATGTTTTGGACCATTCATCATTGTGACCCTATACCAAAATCCAGCTCAAAAGCTTGGTTTACCATCCCCTTCCCCACAATTTAGTTGAGAGAGAAAAAAAAAAAAAAAAAAAAAAAAAAAAAAAAAATCACAAACCTGATTCTTATCAAGCCAGTTGATAATTTCATTACACTTGTCCAGAATCTTCTGTTTATCCTCATCGTTAATCTTGCCTTGAAGTTTCTCATCTTCAACAGTTGCTTTCATGTTAAATGCATAGGATTCAAGTGAATTCTTAGATGACACTTTGTCCCTCTGCTTCTCGTCTTCAGCTTTGTACTTCTCAGCTTCCTGGACCATACGTTCAATGTCTTCCTTGCTCAAACGGCCTATTGAGAGAAATTAAGTCTTTCATGTTAAAGTCCTGAATGTTAACCTGTATGTGTATATGTATGTGTGTGTGTGTGTATATATATATACACACACATATATATATCGCCTGCAATGTAACCACCCCACTTCCTCTTAGCTAGATGCCCCGAAGGCACCAGAAACAACTGAAATACCATTGTGATCCCTGTCAAGAGCAGATGGCAGTGCCATGTGGCCCCCCTCTTACCCTTGTCATTAGTGATAGTAATCTTGTTCTCTTTTCCTGTACTCTTGTCCACAGCAGACACATTGAGAATGCCATTGGCATCAATGTCAAAAGTGACCTCAATCTGAGGAACACCTCGGGGTGCAGGAGGTATGCCTGTAAGTTCAAACTTGCCAAGCAGGTTGTTATCCTTGGTCATGGCACGCTCACCTTCATAAACCTTGGGAGGGAATAAAACAAATTACTACAATGGATTTCAGGTCTCTGTGCTAACGCTAGTTCTGCTAAGGAAGACTCGTCGCTCAGACATCCAAGGAAGGAACTGGCCAACATTAAGACTTTCTGGTGGAAACTACGAATGGTTTTGGAATCCATCATCATAGCGAGTTAGTCAAGACTTCATCCTATGTGGGATCAGTAGGCCAAGATAAGTATAGCAATATACCTGAATAAGCACACCAGGCTGGTTGTCGGAATAGGTAGTGAAGGTCTGTGTCTGCTTGGTGGGAATGGTAGTATTACGCTTGATGAGGACGGTCATGACTCCACCAGCAGTTTCAATGCCAAGGGAAAGAGGAGTGACATCCAAGAGCAGCAAATCTTGAACATTTTCAGACTTATCTCCAGACAGAATGGCGGCCTGGACAGCTAACAAAAAAAAAAGCTAATGTTAAAATGCTGAAATGTTAAAAGAAAACCCAGTGCACAGCTCCTGTTTTAGTAACATCACTCGCTCAGACATCCAAGGAAGGTGTGCCATCATTAGCCAAGCTTTTGGTGGAAACTACGAATGTTTTGTTTAACAATCACTCATCACAGCGAGTCATCTTGGGCCTGCCTGGTATCAGGGTTAATTTAAATACTATTGTTACCTGCACCATAAGCAACAGCTTCATCAGGGTTGATGCTCTTATTCAGTTCTTTTCCATTGAAAAAGTCTTGGAGAAGCTTCTGAATTTTGGGGATGCGAGTAGAACCACCAACCAGGACAATATCATGAATTTGAGACTTGTCTAGTTTGGCATCTCGAAGGGCCTTCTCTACGGGGTCCAGGGTTCCACGGAACAAGTCAGCATTCAATTCTTCAAATCGGGCACGGGTAATGGAGGTATAGAAGTCGATTCCCTCATATAGGGAATCGATCTCAATACTAGCCTGGGTGCTGGAAGAGAGAGTACGCTTAGCACGCTCACAAGCAGTACGGAGGCGTCTTACAGCTCTCTTGTTCTCACTTATGTCCTTCTTATGCTTGCGCTTGAACTCAGCAATGAAATGGTTGACCATTCGGTTATCAAAATCTTCTCCACCCAAGTGGGTGTCTCCGGCTGTAGACTTGACCTCAAAGATTCCATCCTCAATAGTGAGGATTGACACATCAAAAGTGCCACCTCCGAGATCAAAGATCAGCACGTTTCTCTCAGCTCCAACCTGCCATTAAAAACAATCGCCTTTAAATTTCTGATGGGTCAAATTAACCTTAAAATAATCTAACCGTGCACCACAAATGGTACTTACCTTTTTGTCTAAGCCATAAGCAATAGCAGCAGCAGTTGGCTCATTAATAATTCTAAGTACATTGAGACCAGCAATAGTTCCAGCATCTTTGGTAGCCTGACGCTGAGAGTCATTAAAGTAAGCGGGCACTGTGACCACAGCATTGGTAACAGTCTAGAATAAGGAACACAAAGACCACAGATGGGTAGCAGATTACACTTTCAGCAAATGGGATTTTATTAATGCTGGTGAAAAACATCTGGAGCACCCCCCCACAATGTAAATTAGTGTGGAATCGTCAAGATTCATCGGTTTCTACTGTTGACAGACACAAACCTCACCTTCCCAAGGTAGGCTTCTGCAATTTCCTTCATCTTTGTCAGAACCATAGAGGATACCTCCTCTGGATAGAAGCTTTTTGTCTCTCCCTTGTATTCTACTTGGACCTTGGGCCTGCCAGCATCATTCACCACCATAAAGGGCCAATGCTTCATATCAGACTGGACAACGGCATCATCAAATCTGCGTCCAATCAGACGTTTGGCATCTGCAAAAGGTATCAAATGATAACGCTTTGAATTTCATACCTCTTCTGATAAAAACCAAAATCCATGATTCAACTACCTAATTTCATAGACAGATGAATTCAACTACTATAGGTAGTAAACGTTCAAATTTTGACACTACGGTAACTAGACCTCAGTCTGAAAGGTTGATACCTTGTTTTATGAGACTTGAGAATAAGTATATTTTTCTTGAAACAATAAGCTCCCCAATTACATTTCATAAACTCGCCACTGAGACTTTCCGCTTTCCAGCCTTGTTAAATTTGTTCCGTAATCACCTAAAATTAGTAACTCACCAAAAACCGTGTTGGTGGGGTTCATTGCAACTTGATTCTTTGCGGCATCACCGATCAATCGTTCAGTGTCCGTAAAGGCGACATAGCTTGGAGTGGTTCGGTTTCCTTGATCATTGGCAATTATTTCTACTTTTCCGTGCTGGAAAACACCCACACAGGAGTAGGTGGTGCCAAGATCAATACCAACGGCAGGTCCCTTCGACATGGTTGCTAAAAAAGAAAAACCCGGCTTAAAAATTCAAAGTATTTGCCCTATCCCTTAAAGAACTCATAACCGGGCTAAAGATACGACCATTGCAAACGTTAATTTGTGCCCCATCACCTCTTCTCTAAGCACGCGGGAGGCTCAGAACTAGTGCTGCAGTCCAGGTTGCCTGCCAACCGCAACAGAGCATGCCCCTGAATGAAGGGCCCGTCTGCCTAGAGGGCCTGGGGCGTTGCTGAGCACGTGGTCGCAACCCTGAGCCAAGCCCTATCTGTTCCCCTCCCTTGCCAGGTGCCAGTGCCCCCCGGAGTCAACGGGCTTTTAAACTATTCGCGAATTCACTCCTATATTGGAGACACGACCAGAACGGCTTTGAAAAACCACGATGAGACTGGACTAACCAGGAAACCGGAGGAAAGCGCTGGCTCCACTTCCCTGCGCGCCGGATAAACCGATGCGGCAACCCTCCCCCGCCACGCGGTCGCACTGCATCGCCCAGCCTTCCCTGCGGACGCCGCAACTCACACCCTACATTTATGTCCTGCCGGCTGCACCGAGGACCGCTGTCACCTCACCGAGAACCAAGCCTTAACCCAGTGGAAAGGGCCACAGTCGACAGGGAGAGATTCTCAGAACCCTCCGAGCCGCAGCAAGTCCAACCGGCCTGAGTGCAAGCTCCCAGATCCACCACCCAACTTTTGAAGAAAGATTTTACCTGGCGTGTAGGCCTGGCCCCGAAAACGAAGAATACCACAGTAAACTCGAGAGCTGCAGGGGGAGTTCAGTGAGACCGGTTTCCGCCCGCCAGCCCGCCTCTTATACCCGGTCTCAGAACCTTCCAGAAGGGGCCCGCCCTTGATGCCTGCCATTACGGCTTCCCCGGCCAATAGACGCCCGGCTGCCTTCACAAGACCCAATCACAAGCCCAGCCCCACTCCTCGGGCCCCGCCCCGCCCCCCCGCACCCACCCCACCGCGCTCCGCCTCGCGATAACGCACTCACCGCAGCGTTCTGGAACTTTCAAGCTCGCCCCCGCTCTCCGGACGGCCCCGAGGAAAGGGAGGGTGGGGCGCAGAGAGCCCGCGCGCGGGAGTCCTCAGTTACCCCGGGCGGGGGAGGGGAGCGTCCGCCTCTACGCATGCGCCCCCAGCCAGCGCGGGCGGGAGGGGGCGGAAGGAGGAGGAGGAAAAGGGGTGGGCAAACTGGGAACCAACCAATGACAGCAGCACTTGCCGGGATCTCAGCCCGCGCAGAACAGGGGGAGGAATCGCGCGGGGCCTGAAGGGAGGGGTTCGGGCGCGGGAGCTGGGGAGGAGAAGACGGAAGTGGAACGAGGACAAAATGGCTGCGAAGGTTGTTGCTCCCCTCCCCCACCCATATCCTCATTTCTTCTTTCCCAGCCCCCACCTCCGTGTTCCAGACGGTCTTCTAAGAGCCCCCAGGTTTCTCTAACCCGTATCTCGCAGCGTGGCTTTGGGCAAGGGCTGACCCCGAGGGGCTGCGGCGAAGGTTCCGGCTTCAGGGTGCTGGTAGGACAGCTCGCTCAGGGGCACCCAGGATTGGGGTTGGAGGAAGCTGCTAGGCCGCCGCGGGGTGGGGCGCGTTAGTTCGGCAGCCCCCCCATCTCAGCACCCTCATTTCGCTACGGCAGCTGTTGGGAGGCAGACCCCGACGCACAGGTTTAAAAGGGCCCGGCTTCTCAGAACCCCCAGGGTGGGGTCCTGTCTGGTTCCTCCGCGGAAGAAAAGGCGAACCCGCTTTGAGCCCGGACCCCTGGGCCCCTTCCCACCTCGGCCGAGAACAGATTCCGTTTTTTGGCTCAGTCCTTCCCCCACCAGTTCAAGCTTCACATTTCTCCGTTGTTTATAAAATAAACAGACTTAAAAGGTGGCGCGTGTGTTCTCGGTTAGCTGAACCAGGCATGAGGAATCATAGGTTCCAGTAGCCGTGCGTCCTTGATTTGGACTTTCTGAGCGTTTGTATTTTCAGTATCATGAGGTAATACCTTTCCTGCTTTGACTTTCATCAAAAATTAAACTACAGAACATGCAGACGCCTTGAAAACGTGACTGAACTGGTGCACAAAACAATGGTGCCTAGAATTTTAAATTGTGCGATCTTGTGCATGGCCGAGGGCATTGGAGGCCTTGTCGTTCTAAGTGCCTGTCTCAGGTACCTTGAACACTCTGTGTCCTTTCAAACAAGCATGGTAGCTATTATTCCTGTTTAGTAGATAAGTAGGCACGGATGGGGAAAAGATTTTTTAAGGCTACGCTAAAAGAACTTTTAGTAGCAAGGCTGGAATTAGAAGGCCTCTAGACTGCGAAGAAGGCTGTCAGAAGAGCGAGGACACCTTGTCCTTGGCAAAGCCAGTAAAGACTAGAGACAGACTCAAACATGGGAAAAAATTTCCTTTTGGGGAGGAAAGTTGACTTAGAGTTCATGGAGATATATTCTTAGCTTCTCCCCAACTCCCAAGAATTTTATACAAGGCTTTTACTACATACAAAATGCTTTCATTTGTCATCTAATCATCAACACTGTCCTCTAAGGTGTGTATTATTCACCCCCATATTAGGAGAAATACGAGGCTCAGAGATGTCATTTGTGGGAAGATAAGCAGCTGGGAAAGCTAGAATCAAACCTAGCTTTTTTTTTGGTTCAAGATTTTTTTTTTTTAAATTATCTTTTTTGTTATGCAATACTGTAATTTCCTTCCTGGAGATAGATTCAATTCTAGAAAGAGGAAGATGTGTGCTGTGAGCTACTCTTTCAGTTTCCTTTGCTATCCGGAACCTTCCCTGCAGCTCCTCCCTCCCCGTCCCGCATCCCCTACGATAACTGCTGGAAATGGTATCCGAATCTTTGTTTTCACACCCCAGAGCCCAAGGTTTAACAGGCACATATTTTAAGCTACACCCTGTGCTGTATTTTGCATTTTTGTAATTATTTTAATCATTGAACTGGTGGAAAATAGAATTGGAGCTCACAACCACTTGTTTGGGTGATCCCATCCAATAGCAGTGATTAAACAAATAACCTCTGTTTCTAGTTATTCTCAAAACGTGTTCTGGGACTTGGGCTATGTCTTATTAAATGGAATGATTTAGAGTTTATATATTTAAAAGTCAGAATATGATGAAGGTCCTGTCTCCACCACTCTAAACGCACAGGGTTTCAAATGACACATTTAGTTAAGATGTAAAATTAAAGTTTAGGTGAATGAGAGTGCAGTGGAGTCTAGAGCTTAGGATTTCTGACTGGATAAAAGGATAATGATTCAACATTTTTGTGTGTCTACCACATGCCAACCCTACCTTATTTAATTCTCACCATAAATTTAAGTGGTAGCAACTATTATGATTGTCATTTTGTAAATGAGGAAACTAAGGCACTGACAGGTTAAAATATTATCTCCAGCCACAAAGACATATTGTGAAACTTGGAATTCATTCAAGATTGTCTACAATAAAACACCTGCTTTCTGCTCTCTGAAGTAACCAACAGTGGTGTAAAGGTAAACTCACAGTAAAATGAAGATTAGATTGTATACATTCTTGCTATATCATTATTGGTAATTATTGAAAGAAGAGTAGGTTGGGCATGGTGGCTCATGCCTAATCCAGCAGTTTGGGAAGCTGAGGCGGGCGGATCACCTGAGGTCAAGAGTTCCAGATCAGCCTGGCCAGCATGGTGAAACCCTGTCTACAAAAATTAGCTGGGCATGATGGCGGGTGCCTGTAATCCCAGCTACTTGGGAGGCTGAGGCAGGAGAATTGCCTGAACCTGGGAGGCAGAATTTGCAGTGAGCCAAGATGGCGCCATTGCACTCTAGCCTGGGCAACAAGACTTTGTCTCAAAAAAAAAAAAGAAAAAGAAATAAGAGTATTAGGGTGCTAAGGTGCTGTTTTTGTTTTGAGACGGAGTTTTGCTCTTGTCGCCCAGGCTGGAGTGCAGTGGCACAAACTTGGGTCACTGGAACCTCTGCCTTCTGGGTTCAAGCAATTTTCCTGTCTCAGCTCCCCCTCACCCCACCCAATTTTTGTATTTTAGTAGAGACGGGGTTTCACCAAGTTGGCCAGGCTGGTCTCGGACTCCGGGCCTCAGGTGATCCACTCACCTCGGCCTCACAAAGTGTTGGGATTACAGGCTTGAGCCACTGCACCTGGCCTTTTTTTTTTTTTTTTTTTGTTGGTTGTTTTTTATGTGGAGTCTTACTCTGTCATCCAGGCTGGAGTGCAGTGGTTGAATCTCTGCTCACTGCAGCCTCCACCTCCTGGGTTCAAGAGATTCTCCTGCCTCAGCCTCCCAAGAACATGGGAGTATTACAGGTCCGTGCTACCATGTTCAGCTAATTTTTGTATTTTTAGTAGAGATGGAGTTTCACCATGTTGATCAGGCTGATCTCGAACTCCTGGCCTCAAGTGATATGCCTGCCTCAGCCTCCCAAAGTTCTGGGATTATAGACATGAACCACCACGCCGGCCTCAGTTTATGAAGAAATTAAGTTTTCTGGTTTCAGTTGCTTCCGTTGAAAAGTCTCGACCAGCTTAGGCAATATAGTGAGACCCTCATCTCTAAAACAATGAGATGGGAGGATCGCTTGAGTTCAGGAGGTAGAGGCTGCAGTGAGCCATGATTGTGCCACTGTACTTTAGCCTGAGAGACAGAGTGAAACCCTGTCTCAAAAAACAAAAAAATGAAAAAGCTTAAGGTTTAGAATTGAATTTGATTATTTGTATTAGGATTATGTGGTGTAATGTTACTAAATATGCATCTTTTAAAAATTAGTAGTAAAGGATAGTAAATTTATGTTCCCTTGCTTCAAAACCTCAGATATTAAAAGATATTAAAAGACTAAAAGATACAATATATGTATTCCCTGATGGCCCAAATACTTGAGTATATGTGCTGCATTGCATCAGGGAAATTTGAAACTGGAATGATGCAAGCTGTTATTAATATTTTGATTTCTAACTTCAGCTATGTATAAATTATTGCAACTTGAGAATAGCATACTTATCTTTTTTCTGCATTATGCTTTGCTTTCCTAACCAGATTATATACTTTAGAACAGTCTCAGGCCTATCGTAATATATTTTTGGTAGTAGAGCCTTTGCCATTGATGTTTTATTCAATGCTTTATGTAGGGCACCATGCTAAGCATTTGATGTATATTCTCTTACATGACCCTCACAACTATTTTAGGCAGATCATATTGTCCCCATTTTCAGATAAAGAAATTGAGGCTCAAATGGGTCTTGGTTAAGATTCCTAGCTGACCTTGAAGCTTTCAAAATCGTATTTTATTCCACAGCTTATGCTTCTAACACAGGCTAGATTGCTTTCTACTTTCAAACTCTTAAAGTCATATTGTTTAGCCCCTGCACTGTGAAGAGGAGATGCTCTATAAAATATGCTCTTGGCCAGGCACTGTAATCCCAGTACTTTGGGAGGCCACGGTTGGCAGATGGCTTGAGCCCAGGAGTTCAAGGCCAACCTGGGCAACATAAGGAGACCCCATCTCTACGAAAAAATATAAAAATTAGCTGGGCATGGTGGTGTGTGCCTGTAGTCCCAGGTACTCAGGAGGCTGAGGTGGGAGGATGCTTGAGTCTGAGAAGCTGAGGCTGCAGTGAGCTGTGATTGTGCCCCTGTGCTCCAGCCTGGGCAACAGAGTGAGAACCTGTCTCTTAAAAAAAAAAGTGCTCCTAGGCCGGGTGTGGTGGCTCATGCCTGTAATCCAAGCACTTTGGAGGCCAAGGCGGGCGGATCACCTGAGGTAAGGAGTTCAAGAACAGCCTGACCAATGTGGTGAAACCCCGTCTTATTAAAAAAAATAATAATAATAATAAAGGAAAAAAAGTGCTCTTTGTTAACGTTTTAAAGTTGAAATTTTTATCAGAGCAGCTTCATTTTTAAGAAATTTTTTTGAACCAAATTCTTTCTCACAAAGAGAGTAAAGGAAAAAAAGATTTTTTTTTTTTTGAATCAGAGATGGGGTCTTACTGTGTTGCCCAGGCTGGTCTTGAATTCCTGGACTCTAGAGATCCTGCTTTGGCCTCCCGAAGCTGGGCTTACAAGCAGGAGCCATTGTGCCTGGCCCTAATTTTTAAATTGTTTTACTAATTGAAATTTTTGTCAGAGCTGCTTGCAAGTAGCCAAACTCACTGTTTTCCTTTTTTATGGCTTAATTTTCCATCCAGGAGTGGTAACAAAAACAAGATATAAAAAATGATAGGCCAGGCGCCACTGTGCCTGTAATCTCAGCACTGTTATCTCAGCACTTTGGGAAGCTGAGGCGGGCGGATCACCTGAGGTTGAGAGTTCGAGACCAGCCTGACCACATGGAGAAACCCTGTCTCTACTAAAAATACAAAATTAGCCGGGCATGGTGGCACATGCCTGTAATCCCAGCTACTTGGGAGGCTGAGGCAGGAGAATTGTTTGAACCTGGGAGGCAGAGGTTTTGGTGAGCCAAGATTGCGCCATTGCACTCGAGCCTGGGCAACAAAAGTGAAACTTCGTCTTCAAAAAAAATGACAGAGGCCTCATGTGGCGGCTCACACCTGTAATCCCAGCATTTTGGGAGGCCAAGGTGGATGGATCACCTGAGGTTGGGAGTTCAAGACCAGCCTGGCCATCATGGAGAAACCATGTCTCTTAAAAAAAAAAATGACAGAGAGAGGCTGGGCTCAGAGGCTCACACCTGTAATCCCAGCCCTTTGGGAGGGGGAGGCTAAGGTGGGCTAATCACTTGAGGTCAGGAGTTTGAGACCAGTATGGCCAACGCAGTGAAAGCCCATCTTTACTAAAAATAAATTAGCTAGGTGTGGTGGCATGTGCCCGTGGTCCTAGCTACTTGGGAGGCTGAGGCAGGAGAATCACTTGAACCTGGGAGGTGGAGGTTGTGGTGAGCTGAGATGATGCTTCTGTACTCCAAACTGGGTGACAGAGGAAGACTCCATCTCAAAAAAAAAAAAGAGCAAATCATAAACATAATTACTTCTGAACATGGGGGTCCTTGAACTCTATAATTTTCTTCCTTTTTTTTTTTTTGAGATGGATTCTGGATCTGTTGCTCAGGCTGGAGTACAGTGGCGTCATCTCGGCTCACCGCAACCACAGCCTCCCGTGTTCAAGCGATTTGCCTGCCTCAGCTTCCTGAGTAGATGGAACTACAGGCATGTGCCACCACATCCGGGTAATTTTTATATTTTTGGTAGAGGTGGGGTTTCACCATGTTGGCCAGGCTGGTCTTGAACTCCTGATCTCCAGTGATCCGCTCTCCTCGACCTCCCAAAGTGCTGGGATTACAGGCGTGAGCCACCACACCCGGCCTACATTTTAAATAAATTGTTATGACTATATCATCTTTGAAGAATCAACTATACCTATTATTTCTAGTTTCAAGGCACCTTATCTTTTTGCCTCTCATGAGATTGAACAGATTTAATCTTGATGTGCTCAAGATACCCTGTGCTTAACATTAAACAAAAATTACATGATCTAAGCCCATTAACAAAGACAAATCAGGCAATAATAAAGTTGGGAATTGTATCCTATTTTGCAGAACAAGGGAAAACTAAAGGATTTAGACTTGTGTGAGTGAGCTAATTGTGTCCCAAGTATGGTGAAAAGCTTTAGGGCAAGGAAGAAAGCAAAGAGAACAGCCTATAGTTTAGGGTAAAGGTTTGAGGATTTCAGGAGGGAGGATGGTGATTAATTAGGATCTGTCAGTTCTGATAGAATAGACTAACAGTGACTGGGTTTAAATCCTGGCTCAACTACTGACTTAGCCTCTTTGAGCCTTACATTTCTCACTTGTAGAATGATAATGCATATATTTCCTTACAGGATTAATGTGAGTATGAAATTGAGACAAAGTGTATAATGTGCTTAGTGTGACTGGCACACAATAATGGCTCAGTAAGTGTTGATTATTACTGTTATTGCTGTTGATTTACAATGACCTCTGTGAAGTGTGTTTTTTTGTTTTGTTTTTGTTTTTTAGTAGAGACAAGGCTTCACCATGTTGGCCAGGCTAGTCTTGAACTTCTGACCTCAGATCCACCCGCCTTGGCCTCCCAAAGTGCTGGATTACAGGTGTAAGCCACCGCGCCCAGCCCTCTGTGAAGTTTTTCCGGATGTATTTGAATCTCTTAGTGTATACTTTTCAGATTTATTTGAACCCCTTAGTGTGTGCTTCTCTGTTGGCATTTCACCTAGGCACTTGCTCAGTAATTATTATTTTGTTAATTTTGATAGAGCCCTTAAGGATAGCAGCTCTCTTGGTATCCCCTGTGCAACTTATACCTAGCATCTTGACTTGTGAGAGAAAAAAATACTTGGTAAATTTGTGACTGAAATTGATAAACAGTAGATCATATTCAGTCTGAGTTCTTTTGTTCTTCTGTTGGCAGCAAGTTGATAAATTTCCAGTCCCGGTTACATGAGCTTCAACTTCTACAGTATCACTTTTACTGGTTTATTTTTTAATTGCTGATACAGATGCATCCATAATAAATATTTGGTTTTTGTGATGATCAAACACAGTCCCAATTACAAGGCAACTTAGAAGTTAGAAACAGAAATATAAACAGCTTAACACCAAAAGGAAGCAAAACTATATAGGTCTTTTTGCAACAGCAGTTCTGAAATTGTTTGTATACATTGTAACAACAAAGATACCAACTTCCTTATTTCACAAATTTAAGTTTGGCTTATATATTTTATTGACATGGTTACTCAACTTTCACATCATTCCATCTGCATCTTCCTCTCATAAACATTTTTCTTCTGCTTTTTAGTTGTTTTCTCCATTTTTTTATTTCCTATTTCAAAATCAAATTTATTTTACTTGCAAAGTCAGTGAAATATGGTTTGGAACCAGTAGGGTCTCTGACTTAAGCCCAGAACCTGTCAAAGAGAAGTGCAGTATCATTGCTAAGAAGACTTGAAGAGCTTTTCTCTCAGAATCTTCAATTCCTTTGAATTTCTCAGCTCTTAGTATAATCTGTTTTATGTGTTTGTGGTAGACTTCCGTTATGGATAGATTTCCAAAATAATTTGAGTAGTCAACTGGTATTTTAGCATTCTGGTAACTAACATGTTTAAAAATCTAAGCCTTTTTTTCATGCAAAGGAGACTTATTCTTGTTTTCAAAAGCATAGGCAGGAAACCTTAGGTTCAAAGGTAGCGAATAATGATAAGAGCAAATTGCTAGTGATGATACAACTGTAGCCTCCATAGTGCATTTGTTTGGCTCAGGTACTCCAGAAATGAGAGTTCTCAGAATTACATAGCAGAAGTGATATGTTGCCTGGATACCATACTACCAGAGGAATAAAAATGTAGTCAGAGTAAGGGATTTTATATTTTACAATGAGACAGTGTTAGTATAAGAAGCATTCCAAATATGCTAGTCCTCTTAAACTCATAGCAGACATTTTTTAAGTTAATTTCTTACTTTTTTTTTTTTTTTTTGAGACGGAGTTTCGCTCGTTACCCTGGCTGGAGTGCAATGGCGCGATCTGGGCTCACCGCAACCTCCGCCTCCTGGGTTCAGGCAGTTCTCTTGCCTCAGCTTCCTGAGTAGCTGGGATTACAGGCATGCGCCACCATGCCCAGCACATTTTTTGTATTTTTAGTACAGATGGGGTTTCACCATGTTGACCAGGATGGTCTCGATCTCTTGACCTTGTTTGTGATCCACCCACCTCGGCCTCCCAAAGTGCTGGGATTACAGGCTTGAGCCACCGGGACCAGCCAAGTTAATTTCTTAATGTCTCCTATTTCTCACCTTTTTTAGAGGAAGGCAATACTCAGGTTAAAACTTTCACCCAAGAATAAACTCCTGTGGACATTACAAGAATTTTGTGTTTTTTTTTTCGCACTATGTGAAGACATGATTGTGAGAATTAAATATAGGAGTGAAAAACCAGAGAAATGGGACAAAATCCCAGATTAGCCTTTCCTCTTTAAGCATCAGCTTCCTGTTTTAGAAACATGCTTTCATCACCACATTCAGCATTTTTTTCTTTCCTCTAACCTGCTGTTATTTTAAAAAGTATTCTGAGCTGGGTGCATTGGCTCACACCTGTAATCCTAGCACTTTGGGAGGCCGAGGTGGGTGGGTCACCTGACAAGAGTTTGAGACCATGCTGGCCAACATAGTGAAACCCCATCTACTAAAAATATAAACATTAGCCGGGCATGGTGGTGTGCGCCTGTAATTCCAGCTACTAGGGAGGCTGAGGAAGGAGAATCACTTGAACCTGGGAGGTGGAGGTTGCAATGAGTTGAGATCTTGCCACTGCACTCCAGCCTGCATGATGAGAGTGAGACTCTATCTCAAAAAAAAAAAAAAGAAAAGTGTCCTGGGCCAGGTGCAGTGGCTTATGCCCGTAATCCCAGCATTTTGGGAGCCTGAGGGTAGATGGTTCACTTGAGGTCAGGAGTTCGAGACCAGCCTGGCAAACATGGAGAAACCCTGTCTCTACCCAAACTACAAAAGTTAGCTGGGTGTGGTTGTGGGCATCTGTTATCCTAGCTACTTGGAAGGCCTAGGAATGAGAATTCTTGAACCTGGGAGACAGAGGCTGCAATGAGCTGAGATGATACCATCATACTTCAGCCTGGACGACAGAGCAAGACTCTGTCTCAAAAAAAAAAATTTTTTTTTTCTGCTCTCCCAGTGGTGATCAGTTGACATTTGTGCTAGGGTTCTTGAAGGGCTGATTCAGGTCCAACATTTGTGCTATAGGTATCAAGAGTAGTCAAAACTATTAAAAAGGCAAGTTATTATATTGGAGGCTACTGTTTTCTTTATTTCTCAAACATTCCATTCATCAGCTCTTAAGCAGCTATCCTAGTGAATTCTTTTTGCTAATTCTTTCCAAGATGCTGACAACTAAACTGTTAGCAGGCACTAGCTCAACCCTCTCCTGCCACCCACTAATTATTCTCATCTCTTCACTAAATGTTAGTTCCCTTTTCTTTCACTCCAGAGCTAGACCTCTGGAGGCTGAGGCTGGGAAAGTACTGAATTTCTCTTATTTTTCACTTCATAGGAGGGAATGATTATGGCATATACTTGCAGTGCCATTAGAAGCATTGACAATCCCTGATCTTTTTTGATAATTTAAGGCTTAGAATCATCAGAAGTTCCAGGTTCACATCCTTCGAAAATGGACGAAATGGAGGAAATTCCAAGTGTAGTACAATACCGAGCTTCCTTTAATCCTTCATTGATATTGTTTCCTTTTTTTGAGATGGAGTCTCGCTCTGTCACCCAGGCTGGAGTGCAGTGGCACAATCTTGGCTTACTACAACCTCTGCCTACTGGGTTCAAGCAATTTTCCTAGAGGTGCCTGCCACCACGCCCGGCTACCTTCTTTGTCATACTAAGAGAAAACTGATCTAATCTTCCTTTCTAGTCCAGCCAGTCTTGTAATTCTGGTTTCACATGTTCTCCGAAAGGAGAGACTATAATGAGATGGTGGGTAATCTTTCAGCATTCCTAGATCCCTTTTTCTCTAGAAGAATTCTAAGGACGTTGATAAATGTTATGTAGTAAGTATTTTCTCCTTCCAGAGATATCCAACAGGAAAGTCCTTAGAGGCATCTGCTTTTGAGGGAAAATCCACAGTTCCTCCATTATATACTTCTTATGTTTGTCGGCAATCTTCATAACATCATGAAGATGGAAAGCTTTCCATAATCCTTTGTCACACTTTTTTTTTCCTTTCATAGTTATTTTGGGCTCAATACAAGTAGTGAGATTAGTGCAAAGTGGGAGAAACGCATTCACTCTTCTCCATCTCCCACTATTACAACTCCCCTTGAAATTAATATCCAAACATTATGACAAATAAAGTTAAGTCAGAATAGAAGACACATATTTCCTTTTTTGTAGTTTCTTAGAAGTGGTTAGCTCAGTACACGGTGCAGACCGGTGTAATAAGGCTGTGGGTTTTGCTTGACTGTGAATGATTGCAGTAATCCAATAGGTTTGCAGAAATGCATAGAAAATTTACAAACAACATCCCATTTCCTCTTGAAAATGGCAAATCAAAGCAATGATACAAAATATCCCACATGAAAAGTTTTAGGTGTATTCACTTCACCTTTCCCCAACCTTCTCACCATAGGTCCTGGTCAACAAATAGATTTGGACTCCTGCTTTCCCTTATTTTGGTCTAAAGGCACAGTGAGATGCCTTTTTGGAGATGAATCAGCTTACATCCTTTTGCTTGTTTGGTGTCCTATAAGGAAAGTGCTCATTTGAATGTCTTCTGTGCAGTACTCAATGCTACTTAAATGACCTCTCATCTGGTTTGAGGGGGTTGTGTGGCTGGTGACTGAGCTCCAATGACTAGAAGAGTCCAAAGACCCTGACTCCTAGGAAAGTGTGGGAGTCAAGTCCATTCTAATTTAGACCGTTTGGAAGGCTCTACTCTGGCTGGGGATCATGCTGGGTGTGGTTTCTGCTTTGGTCAGAGTAGCATGGTGGACTTTCTTTGGTTCAGTACCTCTCACCTCTGGCCCTACTAGGCTGTATGCCTGGGTGGCCAGCCCTGGCTGGGGTGCCGCGTCAGTTGACAATGTCCGCTGGCTGCGTGAGGCACTATTTGCTGTGGAGCGAGTAGAGGAAGAACCAGAGTGTGAGCTCCGAGAGCCTGAGGAAGAGGAGCTGGGTTTCACAAGGCGGGCTTTTGGAGCTTCAGCATCTTCTCTGAAGAGAAAAAAACAGCAGAGATAAACTTTAATACTGGCAGGTCTGTGATTGCTTCCACTATGGTTGCTTCCTTTTGAGGTTTCCCAATACATTCCTCAAGCTGTAAACCTCAGATAATATCATCGGGAAGGCAACCATTTAGGGACATAGGTACTTTCTTGTTTCTTAAGACTTAATGCTTGGCTCATGCAAATGTATATTTTGTTAGCACACTGGTCACCTCTATTATACTGGGAGGATAGAATCTTATAATTGAAATGGTCTAGATAGCACTCCCCCTGATTTAGAGTTTGTCTGCATAAACCCTTTCATGACCCATAGGCTATGCCCATTCTTCATTGTATGCCTGTTATGAGTAGAAGTCAATCAGAAGTAATGTAAGTTGAACTGTTTTATGTACATACATGCTTTTTTTTTGTTTGTTTTGAGACAGAGTCTCGCTCTTCCGCCCAGGCTGGAGTGTAGTGGCGTGATCTCGGCTCACTTCAACAACCTCCGCCTCCTGGGTTCAAGAGATTCTCCTGCTTTGGAGAAGCTTGAACCCAGGAGGCGGAGGTTGCAGTGAGCCGAGATTGTGCCACTGCACTCCATCCTGGCGCCTGGCGACAGAACGAGACTCTGTCTTAAAGAAAAACAAAAAAACAAAAAAGATTCTCCTGCCTCAGCCTCCTGAGTAGCTGGGACTACAGGCATGCGCTACCATCCCTGGCTTTTTTTTCACTTTTATAGAGATGGAGTCTAACTGTGTTGACCAGGCAGCTTTCAAACTCCTGGCCTCAAGCAATCCTCCCACCTCAGCCTCCCAAAGTGCTAAGATAACAGGCATGTGCTACCACATCCTGCCTAAATTTAACTTTTAAGTGTTTACTGAAGATAAAATAGTTTCACAATAAAGTCCAGGTAGACTACACCCTCTGTCCTTAGGCTGGAACTTCCTATCTACCAGGATATTCCTTTTAACAGATTTATTATTAGGACAAAACTGGGAACATTTATGTTGACTGGTCACTATAGTGCTGGCCCTAAAACAGAGGCCCAGTAACAGTAGGGATTTGAGAGGCTTACCGAATTTCATTAGGTCTCTCTTCTTCCTCATATCTCTCTTTGTCTTTCCTTTGGATTAGCAGCCACACCAAGAGGACAATCAGCACGGCTCCAGCCACTATGCCTGTCACTGCTCCCACAACCATGCCGATGCTTTGTACATCTATTTTCTCAGAAGCAAAAAGCACAAGTAAAACCAAACATAAGCTAGGAAATACATGAACTCAAAAACATAAGTTTTGGACAGGATGTGTATTTCCAGGTCTTTATCTGTCTTCCTGAGCAGTAGTGCATTACCCTCTCCTTATTGTATGACTAACCCTCTTGCTATATTTGCAGTTCTAGTTTCTGAATCACAGACTTCACCAGCAAGTGGCCAGGTATTAGTGAATAAGTCTGGGTGGGTTCAGATGATAAAACTGGGCTGGGAGAGTAATCATATCATGTGTGAAGATTTGTTAGCCTTAATAGGATAACATTTGGGCATTCCTCTGGCTCTGCTGACTTTCCTGTTTTAACAGCTCCCTTCTCCCAAATTAAAAAAAAAAAAATTTGGCCAGGCACAGTGCCTTATGCTTGTAATCCTAACACGTTGGGAGGCTGACGTAGGTGGATCACTTGAGGTCTGGAGTTCAAGACCAGCCTGGCTGACATGGGGAACCTCATCCCTAATAAAAACACAAAAATTATCCGGACATGGTGGCGCATGCCTGTAATCCCAGCTACTTGGGAGGCTGAGGCATGAGAATTGCTTGAACCTAGGAGGCAGAGGTTGTAGTGAGCTGAGATCACGCCACTTCATTCCAGCCTGGGTGACGGAGCAAGACTGTCTCCAAAAAAAAAAATTTCATTTGAGTAGAATGAAAATTGATTTTTAAAAAAGGAATATAACCTATAATTTTAGACTCTGTGGAATTTGACAGTGGATCCTAGAAATTTAGAAGTTAGGTAAATACGATTTACAGTTTAGTAATACATGCTCTTTCATATACCAAATATTTAAGTGCCTACCCTGAGACAGGCACAGTTGTACGCACTGTTGAAGATAGGCAAGTTTTCTGCTTTTGTTGAGTTTACATTCCAGAAGAGAAAAACATAAACAAGTAAAGGTAATTTCAGATAATGGATAAATTCTATGAAGGCAAAATTGGAGGAGTGAATTTTAGAGGGGTAATGGAGGGATACCACTTAAATTTGCGTGATCAAGACTTTGAGGAGGTGACATTTCAGTTGAGGCATACATGATATAAAGGATGATCTTGTGATTATCTAGCAACAGAGCATTCCAGGCAGAAGGAATAGCAAGTGTAATTAATGTGAGTGTGTCTGGAGCATAGTGAGCAAGGGAGAGTAGAGGGAGATGAGTTCACAGAGATGGAAAGGGACCAGCCCACATAGGCCATGGCAAGGATTTTAATGTGAGAGCAATAAAAGAGTAACAATCCAAATTATATCTGAGACAGTGTACCATGCTGCTCTTGGGAAAACAACTTGTGGAGGGGTAGGAAAGAAAGCAGGCACCCTGCTTAGGAAGCTTATAATAGTGCAGGCTAGAGATGATGATGGATTAGGCTAGGATGAAAGTAATGTATATAGAAACAAGTACATGGATATTGCCTATATTTTGGAAGTATAATCAACAGAATTTGCTATTCTTTTTTTTTTTTTTTTGGAGACAGTTTCCCTCTTGTCGTTCAGGCTAGAGTGCAATGGCATGGTCTCAGCTTACTGCAACCTTCGCCTCCTGGGTTCAAGTGATTCTCCTGTCTCAGCTTCCTGAGCAGCTGGGATTATAGGCATGTGCCACTGCCCCTGACTAATTATTCTATTTTTAGTAGAGACTGGGTTTCACAATGTTGACCAGGTTTCTCAAACTCCTGACCTCAGGTGATTGATCCACCCACCCTCCTAGGCCTCCCAAAGTGCTGGGATTTCAGGCGTGAGCCGCTGCACCCAGCTTATTTATTCTTATAAAAAGGAAATGATACAAAATTTTGTTATTTAATGAAATTGGACTTTGGATAGTTAAGGTCTCAAAGGACTGGAGTTATTTTACCTGAGTAATTTCAGTTAGAGAATGCTGTTTCCCCCACTGCATCAGCTCCAGCACACATAATTTAGATGGATTGTCTATTAATAGAAATTTAGGTTGCTTTCAGTTTTTCACAGTTGAAAATAATATATCATGCTGGGCACGGTGGCTGCCGCCTGTAATCCCAGCACTTTGGGAGGCTGAGGCGGGTGGATCATGAGTTCAGGAGATCAAGACCATCCTGGCTAACATGGTGAAATCCCCTCTGTACTAAAAATACAAAAATTAGCCAGGCGTGGTGGCATGTGCCTGTAGTTCCAGCTACTTGGGAGGCTGAGGCAGGAGAATCGCTTGAACCTGGGAGGCAGAGGTTGTAGTGAGCTTGAGATCACGCCACTGCATTCCAGCCTGGGCGACAGAGTGAGATTCCATCTCAAAGAAAAAAAAAAAAAAAAAAAAAAAACAAAATAGAAGAAAAGAATATATTTTCAGGTGCTGTGGCTCATGCCTATAATTCCAACACTTTGGGAGACTGAGGTGGGTTGATCACTTGAGGCTAGGAGTTTGAGACCAGCCTGGCCAACATGGAGAGACCCTGTCTCTACTAAAAATACAAAAATTAGCTGTGTGTGGTGTGCGGGCTTGTAATCCCAACTCTCAGAAGGCTGAGGCAGGGGAAGTGCTTGAACCCAGGAGGCAGAGATTGCAGTGAGCCAAGATAGCACCATTGCACTCCAGCCTGGGCAACAAGAGCAAAACTCTGTCACAATCTCAAAAAAAGAAAAAGAAAAATTAGTAATATATCATTATTTTTCATATCTATTTGGACCCTTGGGGCATGTCTCTAAAATATAAATTCATAGAAATGTTGCAGGATAAAATGGAATGTACTTTTGCATCTGGAATTAAACGAATGACTAATTGTATAGTTATACAGTGAAATACTTAAAACAATGAAAATTGACATACTATAGCTATAAGCAACAATAATGATGAATCTCAGAAATACAATATGGAATGAAAGAAACCAGACATAATGGGATTATTCCGTTTTGAGACAGGAAAAGTAATCCGTAAAGTTAGAAACCTGGATTATGGAGAGGTAGCAAGAGAAACAGATTTTTTTTTTTTTTTTTTTTTGAGCCAGAGTCTCGCTCTGTTGCCCAGGCTGGAGTACAGTGGCACAGTCTTGGCTCACTGCAACTGCCGCATCCCAGGTTCAAATGATTCTCCTGCCTCAGCCTCCCACGTAGCTAGGATTACAGGCACACCCCATCATGCCCGGCTAAGTTTTGTATTTTTAGTAGAGCTAGGGTTTCACCATGTTGGCCAGGCTAGTCTCAAACTCCTGACCTCAGGTGATCTGCCCAGCTCAGCCTCCCAGAGTGCTGGGGTTATAGGCATGAGCCACTGTGCCTGGCCAGAAACAGGTTCTTAATCATGATACTGGTTACATAGGTATCTTCACTTTTGAAAATCTATCAAGTTGTACATTTGACCCTTCTTCTTTTTTTTTTTTTTTTTTTTATTCTTTTTTTTTTTAAAATTCTAGGGAGCTACTCCTAGTATCTTGCTAGACTTTTTTTTTTTTGAAAGAAAAAAAAGGAGAGGAAGAAAGAGGAAGAAAAAGAGGGAGAGAGAACAGGAATATTGCTTTATTCTAAAAATGGGTATTAATAATGGCCAATCAATATTTTGTGTATTTAAAGTGGAAAATGTATATTTTGTGTATTTAAAGTGGAGAGCTCTATAAATATTAAGTTTACTTGTTCTGGATCTGTGTTCAAGTCCTGGATATCTTTATTAATTTTCTGTCTCATTGAGTCTAAATCTCTTTATGGGTCGTACGTATCTGGGTGTTAGGATCGTTAGCTCTTATTGTTGCATTGATCCTTTTAACACTATATCTTTGTTGCTTTGAAATCCATTCCATCAAATGCGAGAATGGCGACTCCTGCTTTTTGTTTATATATTTATTTTTGCTCTCCATTTGGTTGGCAAATCCCTCTCCAACCCTCTGTCTTGAGTCTTCGTGTATCCTTGGATATGAAATGGGTCTAGATGCAGCATACCATTAGGTTTTGGCTGTATCCTTCAATTGGGGGATTTAGTCGATTTAAATTTAGGGTTACTGCCATTTGATGTTAACTGGTTATTTTATCCATTCGTTGATGTAAATTCTTCTTTATGTTGATGCTCTTTACTTTTTGGTATATTTTTAGAAAGGCTCATACTGGTTGTTCCTCTCTATGTGTAATGCTTCTTTCAGAAGTTCTTGTAAAGCAGGCCTGGTGGTAATAAAATCTCTGAGTACTTGCTTGTTCATAAAAGACTTTATTTTTCCTTCAATTGTGAAGCTTAGTTTGGCAGGATATGAAATTCTGGGCTGAAAGTTCTGTTCTTTAAGTATGTTGAATATTGGCCCCCACTCTCTTCTGGCTTGGAGGGTTTCTGCTGAGAGATCTGCTGTAAGTCTAATAGGCTTCCCTTTGTGGGTAACCTGACCTTTCTCTCTGGTTGCCCTTAGTATTTTCTCCTTTGTTTCAACCCTGGTGAATCTAACGATTATGTGCCTTGGAGTTGCTCTTCTTGAGGAATATCTTTGTGGTGTTCTCTGTATTACCTGGGGTTGAATAGTGTCCTGCTTTGCTAGATTCGGAAAGTTTTCCTGGATAATATCCTGAAGAATATCTTCCAGCTTGGATTCGTTTTCTCCATCACATTCAGGTATACCTATCAAACGTAGATTGGGTCTTTTCACATAGTCCCATATTTCTTGGAGACTTTGCTCATTCCTTTTTATCCTTTTTTCTTTATTGTCTTCTCGTTTTATTTCATTAAGTAGGTCTTCAACCTCTGATATCCTTTCTTCTGCTTGATCCATTCTGCTATTCAAACTTGTGCATATTTCACTAAGTTTTCATGTTGTATTTTTCAACTCCGTTAGTTCATTTATATTCCTCTCTATATTTTCTATTCTTTTCAGCATTTTGTCAAACCTTTTTTCAAAGTTCTTAGTTTCTTTACATTGGGTTAGAACAAGTTCTTTTAACTCCAGGAAGTTTCTTATCATCCACCTTCTGAAGCCTACTTCAGATAATGGAACACAGTCCTTTTCCATCAGGGCTTGTTCCATTGCTGATGAGGAACTGCAATCCCCTGTAGAGGGAGAGGGGTTCTGATTTTCGGTATTCTCGGCCTTTTTAGGCTGGTTTTTTCCCTTTATTATAAATTTATCCATCTGTCATCTTTACAATTACTGCCTTTCTAATTAGGTTTCTGAGTGGACGCCCAGTTTATTGATTCCCAGTGCTGGGATTCAAGCAACCCACTGCGCTGGCCAAAACAGCAGCGATAAGACTGATGGTGCTCTTCTGCCCAGGAATCTCCAGTCTGGCTTCCTTCTTGAGTCCTTAACAAGCGGCTCTGCCTTCCCGGAGCTCCAAACACCAGTCAGTAGGGGAACCAGCCCCGTTTACTGTGCATGAAGAGCTGCCGCGCTGAGGCGCCAGCAAAACCGCTGCACCGGTCACAAGAGTCGCGCTGGCGACCCGTGGGGCTCCTCCACTGGAAATCTTCTGGTCCGTGAGCGACGAAAATTCGTCTGAAAATGTGGCGTCCTCTTGTTCTCTGCGCTTTCACTGGCAGCTACAATTCCGAACTGTTAGCGATCAGCCATCTTGGATCTCTCTCTCTTTTTTTTTTTTTTTTGAGAAGGAGTTTCTCTCTTGTTACCCAGGCTGGAGTGCAATGGCGTGATCTCAGCTCACTGCAACATCCGCCTCCTGGGTTCAGGCAATTCTGTCTCAGCCTCCTGAGTAGCTGGGATTATACGCACACGCCACCGTGCCCAGCTAATTTTTTTTTTTTTATTTTTAGTAGAGACGGGGTTTCACCATGTTGACCAGGATGGTCTATGGTCTCTTGACTTCGTGATCCACCCGCCTCGGCCTCCCAAAGTGCTGGGATTACAGGCGTGAGCCACCGCGCCCAGCCTTTTTTTTTTTTTTTTAATTTTTTTGAAAAATTCCTGACATTACAGAACTAAACTGAAATGTATTAATATTCCACTCTTACATTTCCATGACAAACAGAAAAATTCATGAGCCAAAAAAAAAACAAAACAAAAACCAGGGAGAAGCTTATAAAACTAAATATGGATCTCAGCATCAACAGCTGAACAGAGAAAGGAATTAAAATGCTTTAATTAAAAAATCACGAGTGGATGATAAAGTGTGTTGAAACTGAAAATTTACAAACTATTTAAAACCTGGAATTGCTGACTGTTCAGAAACTACACAGATGGATCATGGGTGGTGGTGAAGAGCAGAAAGGGATTATGGATGAATCTGAATCTGCATTGTTCTAGCTGCTCCCCATGCCACCTGTCTCTGAGGAAAGCCTGACATTGATTAGATATTGAGCCAGGCTAATGCTGGCAGCAGATCCAGTGATGGTAACCTGCCTATCAGTAGATCCTTCCACTGGGTTCGCAGTTTTGATCTGCGTCCCAGACATCTGATGGATCTCATTGATTTTGGTGCCCTGATGCCCGATTCTGCAGCCAATCAAATCGTTTGGAATGGTGAGTTCATGAGAAGTAGTCTGAGCAGATGCATCCAAACCTGCCCAATAGCCTTTCAACTCTGGAGAGCTGGATTCAATGCCACTGAATCTCGTGTTGCCATGCGTCATGGGAAAATGAGACTGTTGCATTGCCAACTGGTGCAGCTTGGTCAAATCTGGCTGTGGAATGGCATACTGTCCTTGAATGGTATAGGCCTCTAGAGGTGGTCCCTCCAGGTCAGGGTTGAGGCACATGGACGGGGTGGTGTGGGGAAAGCTCACACTGTCGCTGCCTGTGCTGTACCTGTCCTGACCACCTGCAAAGATGACCGGAGAGCTGGACGGCTTGGGCCGGTGCGGGATGGTTACGCCCTTCGAGGGGGGACCTCCAACATGACCACGCAGATCTGTTTGACACACTCAATGATGGATTGCAGAATGCCAGCAATAGTGATGGCCCGCTCAGTTGAGTTGGGTAACATATCCCCTGCCACCTGGACCTGAGCCCCTGTACTCTCTCGTATTTCTTTGATCTTGCAACCACCTTTTCCAATGAGAGAGCCACACTGACTAGCAGGAACCACCAGCCTCAGGGTGACCGGGGGTCTATTGGCAGCTGTGCTATTGGTCATAGAGCTGCTTATGTCCTCTTCCTGTTTGTCAATGATCATAGCAAAGGCTTTCAAGATGGCATTAGTTGGTCCAGCCAAAGTGATAATTCTCTCAGGACAATTCTTTTCTGAGATGTTGTTACGTGCACCACTCTCTCTGTGCATCTTCTTAACTGATTCTCCTTTCTTTCCAATGATACTGCCAACTTCCTTTCCATGCATAAGTAGCAGGATGGTGAGAGTGACATTTAATCCACCTTCAATCACACCGGTGTCCATGTCGAGCAGTGTTCTGTGGAGCTGGACTCTGGGGAGTGGTCAAGTCTTTGGTCACTGGTGTGGGGTGAAAGCCAAAAACTGCAGGCGGGAGGTGACTGAGGGGAAAAGGGGAGCGGGGGTGGGAAGGGGAAGGGTGGGAGGCCAGGGGTGGAACAATAGGGGCGGGCGGGAAGGCGAGGGGTGCCCCGCGGGTGGGCGGAGGAGGAAGGGGGAAAGAGACCCCGGGGTGGGTGGAGGGCGGGCGGGAGAGGGCGCAGGCTGCGGCTGCTCCGGCAGCTGCCTCTGCTGGTCTGGGAGGGGGACGGGGCGGAGCAGCCTGCTTTCAACCCCATGCACCCTTTGACCCCAGAAGCGCTAACCGCCCCCCCTTTCTTTTTTTTTTTTGCCACAGCCAGAAAAATTTATAGAAACATAGATACATTAAGCTTTAAAACAATCAACTCTCAAACAAAAGAGGAAAGAGCCTTTGATCCCGGAGTCCACATGGAATGAATTTTATACGTGTCTGAAAGTCACATAAGGAGCACTTAAAAACCACCCGAAATGGAAATCCGACAGCCCCCCTGCCTGTGAGGGCTCCCATGCCTGCCAGCGTGAGGACACGGCTGACCCCCACTGGACACTCACATGCCGGGAGCCACCATAGCTCAGGGTGACTGGCAGCGCCCAGCTCAGTGACCGAGACAGATGTCTGTTCACACCTGGCGGGGTGTGGGGGATCCAGCTCCAAATCTGATGACGTGAAGGGAACTTGGGAGGGGTCTGAGCAACGTCCAAAGGGATTTTGGCAACACAGAAGATGCAATGTCTACGAATTCCGCCAGATGCTTCCAAAAACACTGACAATTCAAGGTGCACTTGCCCCAAGGGTGGGTGGCCTTCAGTCCGCGTGGGGTGTCCGCGTGGCCTCCTCATAGGACTCCCCGAACTCATTGACTCTGCGTTTGTCCATAGGATAAGGCCACCGCTGGTACAGGTAGACCAGAAACATCATGTTGTCCCGGAAGCAGGCCAGCCGGTAAGACGTGGGCATGGTGATGATGAAGGCAAACATGTCATCACTGAAGGTGTTGAAAGCTTTGTAGGTTAAGGCCTTCCATGGCAGATGTGCCACCGACTTCAACTTGTAGTTCACAAAGAGCTGGGGCAGCATGGAGAGGAAACCAAAGGCATAGACCCCTGCAGAAAGACAGCCCGCACTCACAGGCGTGGAGGGCCGGGCGTTGACAAAACTGTTGATTAACTAGGAGTACCAGCTTATACTTGATGTTCAGGAGTGAATACACAGCACCCCCGATGCAGAGAGGGTACAGCAGGTAGGACAAGTATTTCATGGCCTGAGTATCGTACTCCTTGGTCTTCCTCTCAGACTCACTGTAAGTGGCAAACTGAAACTCGGGCCTCAGGCCTCTTCAAACAACAGTCATCTTCAATGCCCTTTTCACTTTACACAGCTCGATGGTGGCTCTGTTGCCGGCCGGCACCAGCACCAGCTGGCTCGTCTGCTCATCCAGCAGGAACAGGAAAATGACCACGGTGCTGAAGCAGCGTCAGAGCACTGCGTTGGTGGACATGCCAATCATGCTCTTCTTTTTCTTCCAGAAATTGATGTCATTTTTAAAGGCCAGGAAATCAAAGAGAAGATGCAATGCTGCGACAAAGAAGGTCAGCGCCAGGAAGTACAAATTGGTATCTACAATAATTTATTTCACTTCACCGGCATCTTTCTCTGAAAACCCGAACTGCTGCAGGCAGTATATGGAGTCCTGCATGTGGATCCAGAAGTGCAGTCGCCCCAGCGAGACCTTATCGTAGGACACCGTGAGAGGCAGCTCGGTGGTGGAGCGGTTTATGACCATCAGGTCCTTGACGTGGTTGCAGAGCTGGTTGATAAATAGGATGGGGAGGTAATGCACGGTCTTCCCGAGCTGGATCATCTTCATGTACCGATGCACGTCAGCAGGCAGGGAGGACCCGTCGAAGACGAAGTTGTCTGCCATCAGCTTCAGTGCTAGCCGTGGTCTCCAGTGGGACACCAGTTCATCCAGGGTACTCGCTGGCTTCTTTTTATTTTATTTTATTTATTATTATTATTATTTTGTACCACTCCTAGTGGAATAAAGTGATTCTTTTTTTTTTTTTTTTTCCAGAGGAATGTATTGAGTAGAGGTGAGGAACTAGGAGGTTGAAAAGTAAAAAAAGGAGAGAAGGAGAGGAAGAAAAAGAGGGAGAGAGAACAGGAATATTGCTTCATTCTAAATATGGGTATTAATAATGGCCGATCAATATTTTGTGTATTTAAAATGGAGAACTCTATAAATATTTTATTCAGTTTACTTGTTCTGGATCTGAGTTGAAGTCCTGGATATCCTTATTAATTTTCTGTCTCGTTGAGTCTAAATCTCATTATGGGTCTTAAGTATCTGGGTGTTAAGATCTGTTATTGTTGCATTGATCCTTTTACCACTGTATCTTTGTTGCTTTGGAAATCTATTTTATCAAATGTAAGAATTGCAACTCTTGCTTTTTGTTTGTTTATTTTTGCTCTCCATTTGGTTGGTAAAATTTTCTCCAACCCTTTGAGTCTTTGTGTATCTTTGGATATACTGTTAGGTTTTGGCTGTATCTTTTGATTGGGGGATTTAGTCGATTTAAATTTAGGGTTACTGCCATTTGATGTTAACTGGCTATTTTATCCATTTGTTGATGTAAATTCTTCTTTATGTTGATGCTCTTTACTTTTTGGTATATTTTTAGAAAGGCTCATACTGGTTGTTCCTTTCTATATATAATGCTTCTTTCAGAAGTTCTTGTAAAGCAGGCCTGGTGGTAATAAAATCTCTGAGTACTTGCTTGTTCATAAAAGATTTTATTTTTCCTTCAATTGTGAAGCTTAGTTTGGCAGGATATGAGATTCTAGGCTGAAAGTTCTGTTCTTTAAGTATGTTGAATATTGGCCCCCACTCTCTTCTGGCTTGGAGGGTTTCTGCTGAGAGATCTGCTATAAGTCTAATAGGCTTCCCTTTATGGGTAACCTGGCCTTTCTCTCTAGCTGCCCTTAGTATTTTCTCCTTCGTTTTGATCCTGGTGAATCTAACGATTATGTGCCTTGGGGTGGCTCTTCTTGAGGAATATCTTTGTGGTGTTCTTTCTCTGTATTACCTGGGGTTGAATAGTGTCCTGCTTTGCTAGATTGGGAAAATTTTCCTGGATAATATCCTGAAAAGTATTTTCCAGCTTGGATTCATTCTCTCCATCACATTCAGGTACACCAATCAAACGTAGATTGGGTCTTTTCACATAGTCCCATATTTCTTGGAGACTTTGCTCATTCCTTTTCATTCTTTTTTCTCTATTCTTGTCTTGTCGTTTTATTTCATTAAGTAGGTCTTCAACCTCTGATATCCTTTCTTCTGCTTGATCCATTCTGCTATTTAAACTTGTGCATATTTCACTAAGTTTTCATGTTGTATTTTTCAACTCCATTAGTTCATTTATATTCCTCTCTATATTTTCTATTCTTTTCAGCATTTTGTCAAACCTTTTTTCAAAGTTCTTAGTTTCTTTACATTGGGTTAAAACAAGTTCTTTTAATTCCAGGAAGTTTCTTATCCACCTTCTGAAGCCTACTTCAGATAATGGAACACAGTCCTTTTCCATCAGGGCTTGTTCCATTGCTGATGAGGAACTGCAATCCCCTGTAGAGGGAGAGGGGTTCTGATCTTGGGTATGCCCGGCCTTCTTAGGCTGGTTTTTTCCCTTTATTATAAATTTATCCATCTGTCATCTTTACAATTACTGCCTTTCTAATTAGGTTTCTGAGTCGATGTCCAATTTATTGATTCCCAGTGCTGGGATTCAAGCAACCCACTGCGCTGGCCAAAATAGCAGCGATAAGACTGATGGTGCTCTTCTGCCCAGGAATCTCCAGTCTGGCTTCCTTCTTGAGTCTGCAACAAGCGGCTCTGCCTTCCTGGAGCTCTAAACACCAGTCAGTAAGGGAACCAGTCCTGCTTACTCTGCATGAAGAGCTGCCGCACCAAGGAGCTGGCAAAACCGCTGCGCCGGCCACAAGAGTCACGCTGGCGACCTGTGGGGCTCCTCCACTAGAAATCTGCTGGTCCGTGAGCGACGAAAATTCGTCTGAAAGTGTGGCGTCCTCTCGTTCTCTGAGCTTTCACTGGGAGCTACAATCCTGAGCTGTTAGTGATCAGCCATCTTGGATCAGGCTCGCTGGCTTCTTCTCCACCTTGATCTGCTGTGCATCAGATTCCCCAGTGAGCAGGTTGATTTCTTTCAGCTTGGGGACCATGTAGGTGGTCAGAGGAATGACGAGGTGCACCTGCTTCCCATCGTGCCATGGCAGGATCCCAGCGTGATGGAGGAAGATGTAGGCATACAGCGTCCCGTTATTTCTTGTTTTCTTTGGTACAGAAACATTAACTGTCCTCTCAAATTTGGACTCCACATCGAAGTCTTCCACATTCAAGACCAGGTCGATGTTGTTCTCGGCACCCAGGTGGGACCGCGTTGTGGTGTACATGCTCAGCTGCAGCTTGTGCCGCCGCGCCAGGTAGGACTGGATGCAGTTGGCGTTGCCGGAGCACGGGCGGGTGTAGACGATGCCGTACAAGACCCAGCAGGCGTGCACCACGGAGACCACGAACACGCCCACCACCAGCTTGGTGAAGGAGCTGTGGCCGCTCCACATGGCCGCCCCGGGCCTACCGGCCTCTTGGCTTCCAGCCCCGGCCAGCCGCCCCCCCGTGCCCAGCCTGCTGCTCCTGCCGCTGCCGCTCACAGGACAGCCGCTGTGTGCCGCTAACTGCCGGCCGCCCAGCATACTCCGGCCCCGCTCCGACCTGGCGCCTCGGGATTCACCGGCCTTGTTTGTATATGCCTTACTTTAAAGTATTTACCCCTCAGAAATCTATAGATAAAGCTAATTGTGCTACCAACTTAGTCAAAATGTAAAAGCATCTGTTTCCCCATAACCTTTCTAAAATGGTTTCTACAGTTTTTATGTTTGCTATACTGATAGCTTAAAATAAAAAGGGTGTTTTTATTTCCTCAACCTAAAGGGGAATAAAGGATTTTGGGGCATCTCTTTATTTATGTTTATTGACCATTTTTTATTTCTTTTCCTGAGAACTGCCTGTTATGTTTTTAAGAAAAAGTATCTTGGCTGGGCATGGAGGCTCATGCCTGTAATCCAAGCACTTTGGAGGTTAAGGCGGGCGGATCACCTGAGATTGGGAGTTCAAGACCAGCCTGACCAACATGGTGAAACCGCGTCTTATAAAAAAAAAAAAAAAAAGAAAGAAAAAGTATCTTCTGAAATACCACAGGGAAACAACAACAACGAAAGTATCTGATAACTTGGAAATAGACAAAAGAAGTACAGAGCTTGGCAATTTACAACTCTGAAAGGGCAACTTGTAGACCTCTGTCTAGTAGAGATGAAAATAATTGCTCTACCAGTTAAATGGATGACCCCAGGAATTATAGTCTGTGACTTTATAGCTCAATGTCTAATCCAGTAATCTGTTAATAATAATAGCTAACGTTACTGAACACCTACCATGTGTCAAACCGTTCCTAGGCTTGACTGGTGTTGGGTGATCTGCCTCTGAGATGGCTCATTCACATGTCTGTTGGCTGGAGGCCTTAGTTCCTCACTACATGGGCCTCTATATAAGGCTCTTAAAACAGATGGCTTCCCATAAAGTGAGTGATGTAAGAGAGTGGATCTGAGTGATCTGAGATCTAAGAAAGAGAGCTGCAGTGCTTTTGCAGATGCAACGTACCATCCCTTCTGCTGTATTATATTCATCAGAAGTGAGTCACTAAGTTTAGATCATACTGAAAGAGAGGAGACTGAAGGTGTACCTCTTTTTTTTAATTTTCTTGAGATGGAATTTTGCTCTTGTTGCCCAGACTAGAGTGCTGTGGTGCAATCTCAGCTCACTGCAACCTCCGCCTCCCAGGTTCAAGTGATTCTCCTGCCTCAGCCTCCCAAGTAGCTGGGATTATAGGGATGTGCCACCACACCCAGCCAATTTTCTATTTTTAGTAGCGACGGGGTTTCACCATGTTGGTCAGGCTGGACTCAAACGCCTGACCTTAAGTGATCTACCTGCTTCAGCCTCTGAAAGTGTTAGGATTATAGGTGTGAGCCACTGCGCCTGACTGAAGGTGTACCTCTTGAAGGGAGAAGTAGCAAATAATTATGTGGACATATTTTTAAAACCACCAGAGTGCAAAGTCTAATAAGCAAAGTGTATAAATACGTAATAAAGAACTCTTTCAAATAAGTGAGAAAACAGCTGAACCAAAATGGGCACACAATGTTGAAGTATAACTTTGAAAAAAGCAAAATACTGACTCTGACAAAGGTTTTATTTAATTAATTAATAAAAGGGCACTTGGCATAGTGGCTCATGCCTGTAATCCCAGCACCTTGGGAAGCCGAGGTAGGTGGATCACCTTAGGTCAGGTGTTCAAGACCAGCCTGGTCAACAGGTGAAACTCCGTCTCTACTAAAAATACAAAAATTAGCTAGGCGTAGTGGTGCATACTTGTAATCCCAGCTATTCAGGAGGTGGAGGCAGGAGAATTGCTTGAACCTGGGAGGCAGAGGTTGCAGTGAGCTGAGATTATGCCATTGCACTCCAGCCTGGGTGACAGAGTAAGACTCTGTCTCAAGAATAAGTAAAAATAAGGGGGCTAGGAAAATGTTAAAAGTGGTTCAAAGAGCGTTTAAGAAATCAGAGACAATTTAACAAATGAACATCTATGAAAGATGAACATCTGGATCCAGCCTCCTTTTGTCTTTTAACTTGGTTTATCCTATTTTTTTTCATGACTCAATCTCTAGATTATAAGCCTGGTATACTATTTATTGCACCAAATAAATATTAACACTTCAAGCATGGCTGGCAGATGTAGGATTTGGTTCAAAATTCTAAAGTTAGTAAATTGAGGAGAAATAAAAATAGCTAATGTTATTGAACACACACTGTTCCTAGGCAGTTGTAAGTAAATGTGTTCATTTACCAACTTTTCAGAAAAACGAAGAGGCCAGGTGCCATTGCTCAAGCCTTTAATCCCAGCACTCTGGGAGGCAGAGGACAGATTGCCTAAGTTCAGGAGTTCGAGACGATCCTGGCCAACATGGTGAAACCCTTTCTCTGCAAAAATACAGAAATTAGCCAGGTGTGGTAGCATGTGCCTGTAATCCCAGCTACTTGGGAGGCTGACACAGGAGAATCGCTTGGAGCTGGGAGGCAGAGGCTGCCGTGAGCCAAGATTGCGCCACTGCACTCCAGCCTAGGTGACAGAACAAGACCCTGTCTCCAAAAAAAAAAAAAAAGAAAAAGGAAAAACTCTGAGACAATTAACTATTACTCTTTATAGATTGGGAAACATGCCTCAGGCAGTACAGAGTTAGAGGTAGCTGTGATTGCAATCCAGGCAGTTATCTGACTCCACAGCTAATGCTCTTAGTCACCTGCTACTTATTGCTCATCTGTACTTGAAGCAAATCTATCTAATTCTTGATTATAACACGTGTGTGTGCACATGCACAAGCACATATGTAGTCACAAACACTCTGGAGGGGAGAAATCTCATCTACTTGCCTAGAATGGTAGGTGGCATATAACTAGCTTGGTGGTTTTGTTTGTTTTTGTTTTTGGGAATGGTGTTTATTCAGTACTCTCCTGGATATAGTAAATATCTTTAGGGGGGCTGGCTAATTCACACATTTGTAAATACAGAGTCAGTTTTTTTTTTTTTTTTTTTTTTTTAGAGATAGTCTTGCTCTGTTGCCCAGGCTGGAGTGCAGTGGTGCAATCTCAGCTCACTGCAACCTCCCAGGTTCAGTCGATTCTTCTGGCTCAGCCTCCTGAGTAGCTGAGATTACAGGCACCCACCACCACACCTGGGTTATTTTTGTATTTTAGTAGAAACAGGGTTTCACCACGTTGGCCAGGCTGGTCTTAAACTCCTGACATCAAGTGATCAGCCCACCTTGGCCTCCTAAAAGTGCTGAGATTATAGGCATGAGCCACTGTGCCCAGCCAGTCAGTTGTTGAGTGGTCCTTGAAACTAAATTTATTTTGGTGATAGCCATATCCTTTTAGAAGTAAAGATTTTGACCTTAATCTTACTCTTACTCATGATTAGAATGTCTTACATTGATCCAGAATGCAAAAACAAAAAAATGAAACAAAAACTCCTTTGGATGCTTACACTGTACAGTTACTCGTACCACACAGCTCTCCTTCCCAGCTTCATTGCCTGCTGTGCACTGGTAGAGTCCGGAGGAGGACATGGTAAGATTCTGCAGCAGAACTCGCCCAGGGTTGTTGTAGTCTGCACAAGCAGAAAGAATGACTGTAAATTCCTTTAGTGATGGTATGTATATTTATTGTTGATTGTATCACTGACTCGAGATTCTCATACTATTTGATAAGGATGAAATGATGGAAAATGTACCCTTTGGGAACATGAGAGGAAAGGTAAACATTCTTTTAAGTTGTAGCACATCCTCCAAAGTTGCAAAAGATTCTGAACATTTAAGGGATACTAAACATATTTAGATAACAGTGGATTTATGTAATACATTTTTTCTAATCTCTTACGACTTTTACATGTCATTTGAGGAAAGAAAAGATGGATTTTCTGTCCTAGTTAATGGATTTTAAAAATGGAAGTTCAGTAGGTTCAGCAGGGTATTTCAGGTCACATAGTGAGTTGCTGACAAAGCCGATTTAGAACTTGTGGATAGAGCACTATCTTGGCTCCGTGGATTGGTGAGAAGATGACTTACCAATCCTAGATTTGGGAGGCAGACGTTCGTCCTCTCCCTCCTTCTCCCGGATTCGCTGCCAGTAATACACAATGGGCTCTGTGCCAGAGGATGACTCACACTGCAAAGTCAGGTCACTTCCTTCTGTCAGCTCTCCTTCCATCTCACACTTGGGCTTGGATGGTCTCACTGGCAACAACAACAACAAGCAAAAGCGTAATGATTCAAAGATCCCCAAACACCAGATTCAATAGAAAAACTATGTCCTATTGAGGTGTTTCTCCAGCCATCCGTTTTGGTCATCTTTTGAGTGGGGATTAACGTAGTCTTGCTTTACATTACCCCCAGGAAAACATCCACCTCCATACCCTAAGCACACATACCCCCAGTTCCAGCTGCTACCAGTCATGCTGTTGTAATTTTTGGGGGCTGCCTCAGAAACTCCCTCATTACTTCTCAAAGAAGACACACTATTATTGGACATTTTAGCAAAGTTGAGCATGGTTTTACTGATACTGAAACGTGTATTAATTTGGAAGCAAAGAGCTTAGCTCTTGCTGTCAAAAAACAATTGAATTTGAAATCTGAGAGATTTAAATATAAAGATCCCACTTAAATATTAGAGAACATTTACATTTTGTAATGGACAACTATGGAAAATTGCTCATTTTCATTTTTTATTATGGCTTGAATACAGAATACAGATTTTTTTTTTTTCTTTTTTGAGATAGAGCCTCGCTCTGTCACCTAGGCTGCAACCTCCACCTCCCAGGTTCAAGCGATTCTCCTGCTTCAGCCTCCTGAGTTGCTGGGATTACAGGTGCGCACCACCATGCCCTGCTAATTTTTGTGTTTTTAGTAGAGACGGGGTTGGTCAGGCTGGTCTCGAACTCCTGATCATGCCTGGCTAATCTTTGTATTTTTAGTAGAGACCATGTTGATCAGGCTGGTCTTGAACTCCTGACCTCATGATCTGCCTGCCTTGGCCTCCCAAAGTGCTGGGATTACAGATGTGAGCCACTGTGCCTGGCCAAGATACTACTTTCTTCCCAGGGAACTGGATAAGGTGACCTCTGAATGTATAATCCAAAGTACTGAATGTGAAGTTTTGTGTTACCATGATGCATATGGCTATCACTCGTAGATACCTCAGAAATAAGCTGTAGACATTCACCTTGGCATCCTATCTTACCTAAGACTTTTAAGATGACATGGCTCCACACGTAGCGCCCTGAATTCTTAACCTTGCAAGTGTACCGACCCTCATCACTGGGCTTCAGAGGTTCAATCTGCAAGGAGGCGTCTCCTGCCAGGAAATTGGAAGCAAAGGCTACTCGGCCTTTCTGTTCCTCAGTCAAGTTATTGTAGACGTGATGACTGGAGTAAGTGATCACCTGTGGGATAGACCGAGGCAGAGTCAAGCAGTGTAACTCTCAGCCTGCCTTTCCTGATGGTGTCAAGAAGAGGAAAGGGAGTACTCCCAGTAGCACAAAGTGGTCAAGCCTGGGGCTAAGAGTCCAAGAGACCTCTGTTCTGAATAAAAAGTACAGTACATTTTGCCTAGGCCTTGTTTCTCCTTCCAAAAATAGTAACAATTTATTTTGTGTAGGATTTAGTTATAAAGTATTAATTATTAAATGGGCAGAATCAGTCCATCTTATAGGTAAGGAATTTTGAGTTACATACTAAAGGTCACATAGCTAAGTCAAGAAAAGGAGGAAAATGTCCAAGTGTAGAACTACACATATATTAAGAATAGACTCGCGAGAGGAAAATAAACCTCAGGACCCCCAGATCACTAAGCCAAAGAGAAAGTCAAGCTTGGAACTGGGTCCGGCAAACCTGCCTTTCATTCTATTCTTGAATAAGATAGCTACAAAGATAGAAAAGCTACAGTCGTCCCTCATAATTTGCCCACAAGGAAATTGCTTGTGAATAAAGGACAGACAGAACTCAAAGTTACCCCTCTGCACTCGTGAGATAAATGCATATCTGATTTCTTCTTTGCCTATTTCACTAAGCTGGACTAAGGCATACATGATTTATTCCTCTAAATTGGGTATCCAGTGAAAGCCTAATTAGAATCTCGAAAGAATGCAACCATTTATATCTTATCTACCTAAGACCTAGAAGCCCCTCCCTGATTCAGGTTTTCCCACCTTTCTAGACCAAGCCAATATATTGATTGATGTCTCATATCTCCTTGAAATGTAGAAAACTAAACTGTGCCCTGACCACCTTGGGGACATGCCCTCAGGGTCTCCTGAGGCTGTGTCACAATACATCCTTAACCTTGGCAAAATACACTGTCTAAATTGATTGAGACCGGTTTCAGATACTTTTGGTTTGTAGATTGATTGTGAAAGGGCACACAATAAATGGTTATCAGTAGTTGACTCCAAGGAGAATAGAGAGAATGGAAGATAAAGATGGGGAGGAGACTCATCTTTCTCCTGCATACTCTTTTTTTTCCTTGAGACAGTCTTGCTCTGTCACCTAGGCTGGAGTGCAATGGTGTGATCTTGGTTCTCTGCAACCTCCACTTGCCTGGTTCAAGCTGTTCTCCTGCCTCAGCCTCTGAGTAGTTGGGATTACAGGCACCTGTACACCACACCTGGCTAATTTTTTGTATTTTTAGTAGAGACAGGGTTTCGCCATGTTGGCCAGTCTGGTCCCAAACTTCTGGGATTACAGGTGTGAGCCACAGCACCTGGCAAACCTCTTCCTTGCTTCAAGTAATTTATAATCCAGTGATATTAACAGGAAAGACATATAAACAGAAAAAAAAATGATTTATTTGAAATAATATCAAGGAAGTGTACCAGAAAAGTTGGTGGCATTTGAGCTAGGCTTTGAGAGGCAAGGAGAAAAGGCCTGGAGGGAGCATTTCAGATACACAGAAAGGCACTAAAAAAGGCATGCAAGCATATGGGCATCTCCCAGGCACATTTCAGCTGCAGCTGTTCCAAATTGTTTCCCTCTACTTAAGCCCTCAACCCTGCCCTCAATCACGTGATGCTCTAAAGCTCCTCAGATCCTTTCCTGAGAAGGTTCAAAGCCATCCAATGAAATGTCCATCAGCTCTTTTCATTTATCAAAACCCTTCAATATAATCATTCACTTTTAACACCTTTCTGAGAAAAATACATTTTCTTCTTTGCATATTCTTTTTATTCAGCAAATGTTAGCTTGTGTCAGTACCATGCCTATTACTTTGAAAATAGGCAGGAAGGATACTTTCTACACTGGTCTTGGAGGTCTTAGGGGAGGAAATGGGAGAGTAACAGGGAAGAGGATATAAAATACTCTACTGTGATATTAAATAATATACTTAAAACATTTTCATTCAATATTACCCTTTCATTTCAAACACTAAACTCTACCAACCACTTCTTTTTTTGAAACATTCTCACTCTGTCTCCATGGCTGGAGTTTAGTAGCATGATCTTGGCTCACTTCAACCCTCACCTCCTGGATTCAAGGGATTCTCTGGCTTCAGCCCCTTGAGTAACTGGGATTACAGTCCTGCACCACTACATCCGGCTAATTTTTGTATTTTTAGTAGGGATGGGGTTTCACCAGGTTGCGCAGACTGGTCGTAACTCCTGACTTCAAGTGATCGGTCAAAGTGTTGGGATTACGGGCTTGAGCCACTGTGTCCATCCCATATTTCTATTCCTAGCACATTTTTGAGCTCCAGTTTTATATTTCCAGCTGCCCAGCTGTATGTTATTGTTCTCTTTAATGTATTCTACGTACTGCAACTGCTGTCAGGTAATTTTTTTTTTTTTGTAGAGGCAAGGTTTCAATCTGTTGCCTAGGCTGCAGTGCTGTGGCACCATCATAGCTCACTGTAGCCTCAACCTCCTGGGCTCAAAGGATTCTCCCGCCACAGCCTTCCACATAGCTGGGACTATAGGCGTGACCCACCATGCCTGGCCCCAAGTTAATTTTAATGTAAAATTCGCATGAGCTCTTTTCCAGCTCAAAAACCTTTAATGGCTCCCCACCACCTCTGAATGATGACCAGACAGCCTGGGGTCCTCAAAATAGCCTCTACGTTATCTTCTCAATCTCATTCCTTATTTAGTCCACTTCACATACCTGGTGAAATAAGACTACATTATTTCACTTTCTTTAATATGAGCTATGCTTTACTTGTGCTCCTGTGCCATGGCTCACTGCATTTTCCTACTGAGAAACCCCCCCCCCCACTTTTTTTTGTGTGATGGAGTCTCACTTTCTTTTTTTCTTTTTGGAGCCAGAGTCTCGCTCTGTCACCAGGCTGGAATGCAGTGGCGCGATCTCGGCTAACTGCCACCGCTGCCTCCCGGGTTTAAGCAGTTTTCCTGCCTTGGCTTCCTGAGTAGCTGGGACTACAGGCGTCTGCCACCATGCCCAGCTAGTTTTTTGTTTTTTTAGTAGAGATGGGGGTTTCACCATGTTGGCCAGGATGGTCTTAATCTCTTGACCTCCTGATCTGCCTGCCTCGGCCTCCAAGAGTACTGGGATTACAGACGTGAGCCACTGCACCTGGCCGATGAAATCTCACTTTGTCACCCAGGCTGGAGTGTGCAATGGTGTGGTCTTGGCTCACTGCAGCCTCCGTTTACCTGGTTCAAGTGATTCTCCCGCCTCGGCCTCCAAGTACCTGGGATTACAGGTATGTACCCCCACACTTGTCTAATTTTTGTATTTTTAGTAGAGATGGGATTTTACTATGTTGGCCAGGCTGTTCTCAAACTTCTGACCTTGTGATCTGCCGGCCTTGGCTTCCTAAAGTACTGGAATCACAGACCTGGCCAATTTTTTTGTTTTAGTTTTTATTTATTTATTTTGAGACGGAGTTTCGCTCTTGTTACCCAGGCTGGAGTGCAATGGCGCAATCTCGGCTCACCGCAACCTCTGCCTCCTGGGTTCAGGCAATTCTCCTGCCTTAGCCTCCTCAGTAGCTGGAATTACAGGCATGCGCCACCATGCCCAGCTAATTTTTTGTATTTTTAGTAGAGACGGGGTTTCACCATATTGGCCAGGATGGTCTCGACCTCCTGACCTTGTGATCCACCCTCTTTGGCCTCCCAAAGTGCTGGGATTACAGGTGTGAGCCACCATGCCTGGCTAATTTTTTTATTTTTAATAGATATGGGGTCCCCTTCTGTTGCCCAGGCTGGTAGGATAACTTTTTTAAAGAAAAGGCAAAACTGTGACTCTCATATAGATAGAAAATAAATGTCAAGTATTTTATTTCACTTAATGATAGAACCAGTAAGTTGTTATAACCAGTTTAAATGAAAACTAGGACTGAAAGAGATTTACATTCTCCTTAGGACAAAATTCATTCACATCTTTATGAACAAGATTGATTTGCCTTGCTGTGGATCAGATACATGGGCATCTCCATCAGCCATCCATAAGTAAATTTCTATTTCCATGGAAATTAATATATGAGAAAAATGAGACCCTAATTCATTTTCAGAAAACTTGAACTCTAAACCTTTTCGACTCTAAAAAGTGAGGACCCTTGCCCAAGATGAATTTCAGAGCTCACACTGAAGCCCAGGATTTCTGAAGGTAAATCCCTATCCTTGCTCCCTTCCCCATAGCATGCAGCTTTCCTCCCTCCCCTCTCCATGACATTCAGCTTCTATTGAAAATAATGCAGCTGGGCAAGGTGGCTCAAGCCTGTAACCCCAGCACTTTGGGAGGCTGAGGCGGGTGGATCAACTGAGGTCCAGAGTTCAAGACCAGCCTGGCCAACATTGCAAAACCCCCTCTCTACTAGAAAATACAAAAATTAGTCAGGCGTGGTAGCAGACACCTGTAATCCTAGCTATTCGGGAGGATGAGGGAGGGAGAATTGCTTGAACCCGAGAGACAGAGGTTGCACCGAGCTGAGATCCTGCTACCGTGCTCCAGCCTGGGTAACAGAGCAAGACTATCTTTAAAAAAAAAAAAAATAAATAAAAATCCATCAACACAATGCAATGCATTCAGTCAAGATTTTTGTCTTTATTTAACAAATGTGCATGGCACGTACTTTTTGCTGGATACTCTTCTTAGTATTTTATTAACTCCTTGCACTAAATTATTAACTCCTTGCAACAAATTATTAACTCCTTGCACTAAAAAAGTGAGCATAGTGCAGTTACAGTTTAAAACAAGATTAAAAAAATAATAATAGGCCGGGCGCGGTGGTTTACGCCTATAATCCCAGCACTTTGGGAGGCTGAGGCGGGTGGATCACGAGGTCAAGTGATCGAGACCATCCTGGTCAACAAGGTGAAACCCCGTCTCTACTAAAAATAAAAAATTAGCTGGTCATGGTGGTGCACGCCTGTAGTCCCAGCTACTCGGGAGGCTAAGGCAGGAGAATTGCTTGAACCCAGAAGGCAGA